CTTCAGAAAAAGAAAAATGTCTCATTAGCCTGTTGGCCTTCACCCTTAAAAAAAAAAAAAAAAAAAAAAAAAAAAAAGTGCCCTCCCTGGTGGTGCAGTGGGTTAAAGCAAAACATTAAGAAGCTAAAATCACTTCAGCACTTCAGCATGAGTTTGATCCTCGCCTGCCCCCGAGGTGACCCACATGGCGCCGCAGACCTCTCCTGGTCCCCCTCTGCTCCCCTCAGCAGTGTACCTGTCAATCTGCCTGTCCTACTCCCCACTTTGTCTCTGGTGAAGCCTCTCGCCGCCCCCGCACCTCTGGCCTGTACCCCAGTTCTGTATGCATAAACAAATAAATCTTTAAAAAAAAAAAAAAACAGACCTCCCTGGCCTTACCTCCATGTTGTTCAGGGCTCGAGTGTTGATGAGGTAAAAAGCAGTTCAGACACACAGGGCTGACTCAAGACTTAGACCTCATCTCCTTGAACTTGTTTCCAGCTGCAGGAACACACCCTTCCGAGATCAGATTATCCCCTTTCACAAATCAGTCCCTGGGAAGACCAATCCAAGCTGAGACCAAGATGATTGATGTAAACACCTTGGGGCTGTAAAGTCATTCTAGGGGTGACAGACTTGTGCTGTCCTTGTTTTCCTTGCAAAAGACCTCAATGTGGATGAAAATCCTTCCTATCTCCCACCAGCCACCTTGGTTACCATCCTACAGAATAGACAGGAGCCTGGACAGCTCTGAGGGGGCTATGTGGGTCCTGGTACTTTTTTTTTTAAAGGTTTATTTATTTATGCGTACAGAACTGGGGTAGAAGCCAGAGGTGTTGGGGCAGTGAGAGGCTTCACCGGAGACTAAGTGGGGAGCAGAACAGGCAGATCTACGAAGTACACTGCTGAGGGGAGCAGCAGGCAGGTCAGGAGAGGTCTGCCGCGCCATGTGGTCACATCGGGGCCAGTGATTGAACTTGCACTGAAGTAGCTGCCACTAGCTTGCAGTGCTGTGTCCTAACCCGCTGCCCCACCTGGGAGGGCATACTTCTTGTGGTGAAAGAAGTATTGGAGGTGAAAACAAGACCTTCAGGTTTTGGAGAAATGTGTTTTTTTCAGTAAGATGCTGCTGCCAACGTTTTCTATTTTTTTTTTTCAAGCTTGATACAAATTTTTACTGTACCCAAACAGAAATATGATTTTCAAAGTTAAAGGGGTTCCTCCTAGAACTTTCATGTAAGTCCTCTTTTTGGAGCACCCTGAGGTGGAAGCGGAGTTTCCCACATGTCCAGCATGTGCCGGGATGATCTCTTGCTCTAGCTGCAGCTGCTGTGCAGTGATCTCCCCAGCTCTCCTGCTCCTCCACTCCGTGCTTAACCTCATCCATTGTAAGACAAATTGCCCGGTTGTGAGAGTCCAAGACAAGTTTGTACCCTCAGACCAGGCAATTGCTCTATGTCACTTACAATTAAAAGCATAAGATTTAGAGTAAAACGGCTTGGACTTGAACCAGGCTTCACTCTCACAACCTGACTTTGGGAAAACTCAACTCCAGTTTCCAATACAGGAATAACAATGCTACCTACCTGTTTAGTGGCACAGAAGAGAACTTAGCATAAAATTAGTGCTCGGTTTATATAGTCGTGGTGTTGCTGGATGTTGCATAACTGAGCAAGTGAAGAGCAGAGAAGGCTGCCGTCAAATCTTGGCACTGGAAGGTCCTTTAGAAAATTCAAAAGTTTGCTGAGCTTCTGCAGCCCCACACTGGATATTCTGTTTCATGGTCAGCTGACAGTTCACAGTCACATTCCCCTCAAGCATAGTAATCCCTTCACCACATTCCCAATGGGTGGCTTTTGAACCTCTATTTAAATCCCGACCAATTTATGCCATTCTGCTCTGGAATTGCTTTGACTTTTTTTCTCATTGAAAGTACCGAAAATCAATCTCCTTGTAACCTCCAAGTGTCTCCCTCTTCTTAATAAAAATTTTAAAAAGCAAGTCCCCTAATTCCTACTACATAGGCAAGCTTTAATTCATTCAAACACAGGTAGCCAAAGAAGGAGTGTTAATTCAAAAGTGACTTTGTTCTGCTGTTTGAGGGAGAGGTATTCCAGTCTGAGAATTGTGGAATGTGGATTAGACTGGAGGCTAGAGGTGGGCCTTTGTGTGGACAGGTAGGATTCTGCTTCACAACAGTGAGATCAATGAATGGTTTTAAGCAAGGGAGTGCCATTGTCCATTTGTATTCAAAAAGATAACTGACAGTTGTCTGGGTGAGAGACTGGAACGGGATAAGCCTTTTCCTCTTCTATAGTTTCAGTTACTTGAGGTCAACAGAGGCTGGAGATATTATGTACAATATATTTTGAAAGCATGGCTGCACCCACATAACTTATATAACAGTATATTGTAGTGACTGCTATTAATCTCTGACTATGCCTAATTTATATATTAAGCTCTCATAGGTGTGTATGTACAGGGAAAAGCATGGTATATACAGGGTTCAGTACTATCGGAGGTTTCAAGCATCCACTGGGGGGCTTGGAATGTATCCTCCACAGATAAGAGGGGCTACTGTAAAAGGAACCAGATGGTAATACAGTTATCTGGGTGAGAAATTGGAAAGGGATATGTGGGGATTTCTTCCTTAACCAAGGTTTTGGTTACTTGAGATCAATAGAGGTCACCACAGAGTTGAGAAGTAAACAAATTTAAGAAATCTTTTGGAGGTAGAATTCAGAGGACTTGGAGGGGAAGTACCAATGGCAGGTGATAGCAAGAGATATCAGAATGGTATTCAGAGAACTAAGTTGGTGGTTCAATATAGCAACTAGTCTGGGAACTTCCAATGTTGTTGACATTGAAAGCTGCGGGACTATATATGGCATCACCTGCTAGGCCGGAATGTGCAAGTTGGAAGTGGACCCAGAACCAAGCTACAAGCGGTGACTAGAAAGGAATCGCTAAATGATGGAAACATGGGCCACAGCAGCAGAAGGAAAACCAGGGATTGTTGTCGTGGAAGTTTGGCCAGGTGATGGGCAGAAGCTGGAAGGGAGTGGGTTTATGAAGATGAGTAAGATTACAGAGATCACATGCAAAGACAGCTACACACTGTCATGGAGGAAACCAAAGGAACCGGTGGTATAAATGGAGGAGAGAATCTCTCATTTCTTCCTTGTCTCTTATCTTACATGTTTTCCCAGTTTGTTCAATTTTTTATATGATGGTATTTCCAGAAGATCTTGTACATTGCACATGGCAGTGTTTTGTCCCAGATTAGAGTGCTTCATCCAAAATGTGTTATAAGCCAGCTGGGCCAGCCTATTGTTTTTGTTGTAATAAATGCATTATTTATAGGTTTAGCCAGCTCTGCCCTCTGCTGGCTCATCCTGGTACTGCAGTCAAGACAAGCTAAGCACCTTCACTCTGCACTTGTACATCAAATACTATGTATGACCTAGGAGAGCTGTTGGTCAGAAGTGGGGTAGCCCAGGAGCACCTGAAAATAAGCTTTGGTAAATGGGATGAGAAGATAAGGCCGGCTTTATGCTTTCCAGTTAACAAATGAGGTAGCTGACACTCAAGTGCAGAACCATTTAAGTGGCGGAAATGAACTACAGAACTCCTTTGCAGGTCCCAGTATGAACTGTCAGAGCATAGCTACCCTATTTCTTTAAAGCTTTGGAATATTTTCTTGCAGAGTACAAATGCAAAGTCAGTGTCTAAATGTCTTTTATATTTATATATATATTTGTGTTTATTGCCACTAAAAAGAAAGTCAGAAGGAGTCAGGGATATTCTTTCATTCACCAAATATTTGTGGAAGACTTTTACTATATGCCAGGCACTGTCCATACATAATAGGGATATCGTCGTGAACAAAACAAGCTTCCTCCTTTATATTCTAATATAAGTGATAGACAGTAAGATAAGTAAGGTAAAATATATACAATTCATTTGGTAGTGGTGGTGGCAAGAAGGAGACTTAAAGCAGGAAAGCGGGTATGAAATGCTGGCCACGTGGGGGGTAGAAATTCTGGTTAGAGAGGTCAGGGAAGGTGTCTATAAAATAGACCTAAGGGAGGTAAAGGAGCTACCCATGCAGGTGCTGAAGCTAGAAGGCACGGCAGCTGCAGAGTGGTGAGGTGGTCCGGCAGGCGTGAGCAAAATTGAGGCTGTGTGGCCGGAACAGAGTGAGCACAGAGGAGAGCGTGAGAAGGGCGGGTCATCCACACATGATGGTCAAGGTCATAGTGAGGACTGCCTGCTTGTGGTCCAAGGGAATCGATATCCTCGGGATGATTTTAAGCAAAAGAGTAAAACAAGCTGCTGTATTTTAACAGGGCTATTCTGGTTACTGTGGGTAAATGGGGTAGGGGTTGGCACAGGAAGACCTGTGCAGAGGCTATTGTAAAAATTCAGATAAGAAATGGTTTTGAAAAAGGACTGATAGAGTTTTATGAGGCTCAGATGTGGGCTGTAAGAGGACTAGCCAAGGGTGACACCAAGGTGCTTGCTGAAACTAGGAGGACGAAGTTGGAATTACCTGAGATGAGGAAGGCTGTGAGTATGAGGCTATGAGGGGACACGCTGGGCTTGAGATACCCAGCAGACATCACCCAGAGATGTCAGAGTTGATGATTGGATCTACCAGGCGGTGCTGGAGATACAGATGAAGACATTATCACTACATAAATGGATTTGAATTGATGAGATAATTAGAGGAATACTCTAGATGGTACTGATAAAAAGCTCAAGGACTGAGCCCTGTGGCACTGACAAAGTTTTGGGAGATAAGAAGAAAAGCCAGAAACTAGAAAGGAAACTGGTTAAGATGGTGTCTTAGAAGCTAAGGAAGAAGACAAAAACAGAATAATCTATTGTATCAAATGGTACCAATAGGTTGAATTAAATGAAGACTAAGACTGAGCATGAATAGAGCATGGTTTTGCTGATTCTCTCAGACTCATAATGGATTTTCTTGCCTTAACTCTCCCCCCCACACCCCCCACCAGGTTGTAGCAGATACCAATATAAGCGCTATAGCAACTCAGCTCGAAAGCATGTCTACCGGCCACCATCTCGGTCCACCCACTGCTGACCACCCCCCAGAAGACACCGAGTGAGTATTCTAATTGCACAGTGGCTCTTTTATTTGGGGGAGGGCTCAGTGAGACCTTTCAAGATTCTAGGGTGCTTTCTAAAGGAGAGGAAGGGAAGAACACATTACCCATTCCCTTGAGGATCCCCAGGAAGGCTCCAGAGTTTCCTCACTTTCCCCAGGTTTTGTTCCATGACATGAGTCCTTAGCGGGGCCTGCACTGCATCAGGTCACTCTAGCTCACTGCCTGAACCCTCAACCTCAGGTTTACAACCCAGGCACACCCTGCTTTATATGCAAGGAGCATGTTTTCTAGGCTAAATCTTGTGCTGGAATTAAATCCTGTTGTTTCGCTTTCTAATGTTCTCCACTAGCCAGTCATTCCAGTGAAAGCTGCTCCATAAAGCATTGTTTCTCAAATAGAATGTGCATAAAAATAATCTAAGTGCCATTTTCGCTGGCGCCGTCCTCAGAGAATATGATGGGTGCCCTGCGTGGGATTCTGCACCGTGATTCTACTGCAGAGACACAGAGGCCCCACACTTGGAGAGGTGCTGCATAATGTCATTCCCTCTGGTACCGCCAGTGCCTGGTCACTAGTAGGTGCTCAGTAAATGTTTGTTAACTGATCTGAGTGGCTCATTGGAAGCTCTGATACACATAGCCACTGCCAACTTTTTCTTGCTAGGTCATTGAATTAGATGACATCTTTGAGATTGTTTTTCTTGAGGAAAGAATATTAAACTAAGGCTCACTGTATTTTTTTTTTTTTGCCCATTATGAAAATAATCAATGCAAGCCAGAAGTCTAACACTTTCAAATTACAGTGGCCTTTTCCTTAAAAAAAAAAAAAATCAGGATCCTCAAGAAGAGGAGTGTGCCTGTGGCATCCCTTAGTGAACCTGTAGAAATATAGAGGTGCCCTGGTCATCCTGGTCACTTGCTGTCCTCCATAGCTCCTGGCAGGTTGGGTATGATTAACTGAAGGAATGTTAAAAATCACTTATAACGATTGGTTAATGCTTGGAGACTTTTTTTGCTAGTCTTCTCTATGAAAGTATATTGAATAAGATCAGTGGACAAACCCATTTGATGCTGCCAGCTGAGGAGCGGGGTGTCATTCCGCCCTCTTCCCCTGAGAAAGGGTCTCACGCTGTGAACTGGCAAAATGATGAAGGTCTCTAAAGACCTGGTGGCTGCTAGGGGCTTGCTGTCAAACAGTGTCTGGACATCAAGTTTCCCCTGTCATTATCTTTGCAAATGGGGTCTATATTTGAAAAGGAAACATGAATCAAGGCCATGTGCAGCCATTGGCCATTGCTGAGCTTTTGGTAAAGCCAAAGTGGTGAGAGATACAGTCTTACCCACGACTCCGTGGCATTCAGCCATCAGGGGTCATTCATCATTTTTTTTCAACAGATATTTATTGAGCACCTTCCTAAGGCCAGACACAGCACAAGTGCTGGGTCCCAGGAATTCAAACTTGAGAAACAGGTGAAGGGATTCATAGGGAGTGTAATTGCTCTAGGTGTAAATGAAATAGAAGAAAGGGGAGTGGCTGTCAGAACAATTGAGAGTTTATGGCAGAGTCCCTCCGCAAATTTTGTGGCTACCTGCTTGGAAACAAACAGCAAGTGCATCAACAAACAGCTGAAAATCAACGCTACAGTAAGCAAGGTGGAACTGAAGAAAGGGAAGACTGTTCCAGTCACACAGAGCAGCACGTTAGAGGTTGCTTATACCCTGATTTGCAAACATGGCCATGACTTCTGTCAGATGGCCGCCCTCGGGCATGCAGGCAGCCACACAGCAGAGACACAGTGGCGCTCAAAGATGAACCTCCTGCAGACGCAACACTGGGTCTGCTGTACCAGGGTTCCTCTGGTTTTTGCCCTTTGGACAAAGGTATTTGGAAGTAAAAAAAAAAAAAAAAAAGGCATTAGCTACATTCAGATTAAACTGCGTGAGCCCATGTAGGTAACTTAATTTTTAGGCATGTGTTTCTGGGAGAAGACTTCCACACTGGACGAAACTTTGAAAAGCCAAATTGTACGTTTGAAACAAATTATCTTTACCCATTTGCTGCCCCTTGGTTTCTCTTCTTTCCTGGATTTCTGGATTGCGGTTCTCACATACATGGTCATGATCCTGAGTTTGTGGAAGCACCAAGCGTAGTGCTGGAGATACTGAACTGAGAAGACTATGACATTTTCAAATTACAAAAAAAAAATTTTCAAAAAAAAAAAAATCAGGATCCTCAAGAAGAGGAGTGTGACTGTGGCATCCCTTGGTGAACCTGTAGAAATATAGAGGTGCCCTTGAGTTAGAGAGTCGGTAGAACGGAAAGGGGGTTAAGTAAGTCCAGTACTGCAAGGGTCATGAGGGGCATTCGGACTGTGCCCTGGGAGCACAGTGAAGGAGATGGTGACTCTCCCTAGGGAGGCAGGAAGAATGAGGAGGCGGGAGGACCAGCCACTGGCCAAGCTAACAGGCGGCCGTCACCGCCTGGACCCAAGTCCACCTGCAGGCTGGTGATCTACGATGCCTGGCTGAGACCCACCTTTCGGTCCCCATGCCCACTCATCAAGGGTGGAAATATAGTTTCATTGAGCTTTAAACAGTGAATTTACAGGTTAAAACTAAGCGTGGAGAAGGGTGCTTTGACAACTTCAAAATCATGACTTTCAATTAGAACATAGTGAACTTTATGAAAGAGAAACTTCTAAAACATCAAGAATATTGTTCATTCATGGCATGATGGGAGAAATTTCAAAATAAATGTCTAGATTCCTGTCTGAGAGTTGGATGTGATAAACTGAATTTCACAGTTTCACAGTGTGAAAGTCTCTCTGATATCTGTTCTTCCATTAAAATGCAATTCCCTCTTGATATCTATTCCTGAATTAAACAGCATGCATTGTGTTTTCAGAACACCTCCACCTAAGATTATTACTTTGGAGAAAGGCTCTGAAGGATTGGGGTTTAGTATTGTAGGGGGTTTTGGAAGTCCCCATGGAGACCTGCCAATTTATGTCAAGACTATATTTGCAAAGGTATTTTTTTCCTTTTTTACTGTATATTTTTTTAACATAGGTGAGGTGTTTTTTTTTTTAAGTGTTTTGCTTTACTTTGGGTATACCTGGATGTGTGCATGTGTGCCTGTTTCATTTGAATCTGTAGGAAATTTCCACACCAAGCTGTGAAAGAAGAGTTATGATAATAGTCACAAGAAGTTGAACTTTGTTTCAACTAACTTACAGTAGCAAATACTAACAGATTTCAAAGAGTATCTTCTTTCAACATAACAGTGTAGGGAGCAGTGCCACACTCTCTGGAAGCCGGGCTTAAAGCAAGTCACCAGCTGTGGGCCAGAGCAGCCTGCCTGCCTAGAAGCTGCAAACCACAGAAACCTTGGGGCAGAGTTAGCTGAAGGCATTTTCTCTCTTCCGAAGTTTTCCCAAGTAGAATCAGCCCCATCAGATAGGCTAAGGCTGGGGAGAAATGCACTTGCAGGATACTCCAATACACTTTCAGATACTCCAATATATCTAGTTAATAAATACCCAGGATTTAATGTTGATACAAATTTTGAAGATCTCTGAAATGCACTTAGTATAGCTATTGCAATTTTAATCTTCATTGGTTTTATTTTTACCATAGTCATTTGTTCATTCATTGATCAAATAGCCTCCTAGTGCTTTTTTTCCCTAAGGAAATAGAGATCTTCAAAACAAGCAATTAATTAGGTTTTCATCTCTTTTTTAAAAACTGTACTATACACTCAATGCAACTACACTTTGGCTTGTCCAAGTCCTATCACCTGTTCATTAAGCCTGAGTCTGACTGGGCATAATCCTTAAATCATATGGCATTTGCCTTTGGAACACATTAAGCAGAGACCGGTCTGCCCACCCATTTGCATCTCCCTAGCATGTATAAGGTGAAGGCATGGTATTCCCATACACACACCTGCAGGTCAGGGGAAGGCAAAAGGAGAGCGGGAAGGCAGATGAGAAACATTTTGGGCAACTCTCCTGCCCGGTCTGATAAACTCCCCAGGTGAACAAACCATCTTAAGACCACACCAACAGTTGTTGTGATTATCATGTTTTTGAAGGATATTGTTATACTCTGCTTTACAGAGTGTCTGTGTAAGAATAATGGAACGGTTATAAAGTTAGCCCCCACATTTCAGCAAGTCCTGCCATCTGAACTTGGCCTCCATAAAACCCCTCCAGAATGCTTGTCGCCAGCCACTCACTTCATAATGGTGGGTAGATCAGCTGCATCCAGGGAGAGAACGGGTTGACTTGAGGCCCAGAGTTGTCCAGGTACAGCTCTCCGCCTACACCCTCCCATAGACTGGTGGGAACCGAGCCAGGTACCTTTTATTGTCAAGTCACCAGAACATAAAGCTGAGAGTAAACGGCCATGTGGTGCTTGTGGGTTTTTAAGAAGAAACCTGCACCGTCACAGTGGACCAAAGTCGTGCGAGTAAGGAATGCAGGACTATGCACCCAGAACATGCTGTCCAAGGGTCCCACTGAAAGTGCTCATTTAGGAAGCACTGATAGAAGTAGTAACAAAAATATTGAGTATCCTTGGTAATTTTTTAAGGAATGGACCATTTTTTGTAAAATGAAACACTAAAAATTTAAAGCCCTGAATTTAAAAAAAGCGAAAAGGGGCCTCATGGGTGATACAAGGGGTTAAGTCTCAGCACTGTGAAGCCCTCTGCAGCCACTGCAGGAGTTTCATCTCCAGCCAAGAAGCTGACCCACCTGGCACAGCAGACCTCTCCTGTCTTACCCTTGTTCCGCTCAGCAGTGTGTTTCAGTATATCTGCCTGTTCTGCTCCCCACTCTCTCTCTGGTGAATCTTCTCACCCCCCACACCTCTGGCTTACACAACCCTCCCTGGCCAGATATATTTCATAGCATTTTTAGACACTGAGTTTTGGAATTTTAAAAGCCCTCATTTCATTTACGTTGTGCCATTTTGAGGAGTTACACGTGACTGAGGATATGAAAAAAGTAGCCATTTATGGAGGAAAAAATTAGTCATTTAGAAGCCTGATTAGATGACAAAGATGAAGCTGATGCTTTTGAATATATTGCAGAATTTTACAGATTTTATAGTTCTCTGTATTTATGTGTAGAATAACTTTATTGAGATATAAGCCACTTACTATATAATCGACCCATTTAGACGCTACCACTTATTTTTGACAAATCACCATCATCTGATAGCTTACTAATGTAGTGGGAGTCCTGTAAATATTGGCAATAAGACTAACACCAGGTTCAGTTCTGCCTTTGTTTGTATAGTACCTATTCATGAATATAACATGATAGGACATTCAGATGTCATTGAGTACTGAATATTGAAATAAGGTCAACTTGTATTAAAAGAAATATGAATGTCAGTACATTTCTGGCAGTATGTTATTGAAACAATTGCTAATCAGTTGCTATTCAACAATTATTCAAATAACATATTCCACTTTTTTAAAAGTTGCTCAATTTCAGAACATTACCTAGAAATAACTTTAATTGGTTGTATTAAAGTGACACAGTATACATATCAGATGCAAGTTAGAGGTTTTAATGTTACATGAATAGAACCAGTGTCACCCTGGCTTAAACTGGAATGTTTCTTATTTGCAGGGAGCAGCTGCAGATGATGGCCGATTGAAGCGGGGTGATCAGATTTTAGCTGTTAATGGCGAGCCCCTGGAAGGTGTTACTCATGACCAAGCTGTGGCCATTTTAAAACGCCAGAGGGGGACTGTAATCCTAACCGTGCTGTCATGAGCTTGTGTCCTGATCACAAGACAGATATTGTTGTAGCATGTCAGTAGGAAGATGGAAGTTCTGAAAGAGAATGAGAAGCAACCTCAACTGAAATGCACCTTCCTTCTTTCCACCCCACGCCCTCTGCTCAGGAGAGGTGGCTGGGGTGTTGTGTAAATTTTCCAAATCAACTGCCACCTTCCTAGTGTTTCCCAGCTTCAGTCACTTCCTACTGAGGTTAATTACTAAAATTAACTTGAATGAGTCTTGCATATTTTGCATTTAACATCGTTGCTTATCAACTAGAAGTAACAGGTTTTGATCACCTTTGCTGAAACTGGATGAACAACCTCCCACTCCTTATGCTCTTCTCTCCCGGTTGCTGCTGACCCAGAGGCCTGCCAGCAATCTCAGCTCTCATCCAATGAACAGAAACAAATGTTAAGCACCTTGTCATTGCACTCATGATTTACTTATGCTAATTCTCTTCAAGTACACCCAAAAACATTAGCAGTGTAATTAACTTACCAGTGAGCCCCATGATGAAATACAAAAATCCTCCCTTGGGAAATTACTCTGCTCTCTTCTGTATGACTTATAGTCAAATAAGTCTCAAATTCATTTCTCTGGGTGGATCTTTATAAGTTAGTCATTGGTGACTATGATGAGTCAACTTGAAGACTGTCATCTAAAACTTCTGAAATGCTTTATTGTTTCCTTGGCTACATAAATGGCATGCCACTGGGCGAATGCACCTTATTCACAACAGGAATAATTAGCATCTATGAATTCTAGCAGTGCTAAATTATAGTCAAGTCTGGAAAGCCAATGGCATCACAGCAAGTAAGCATTACCCTTACCCTTCAGTCTTCAAAAAAGAAGTGGAAAGTACAAAGGTCAGCAAGTTTTGCCTCAAGTCAGAAAAGTCTTGGGTGGCCTTGACCTTGCACAGAGTACAGTGACAATTTACTCATCCTTCCCCTGGACTCCATTACCAGATCAGTCAGCAACACCAACTTCAGGAACATAATGGGGCAGCTCACTGGGCCTGAGTGCCCAAGCAAATGACGTGAGCCTAGAACCAGTGATGGGAATGCTCAGCTAATGTTCCCCGTGCTCCAGAGAGCTTCCCCCAGGCTGCAGTTTTGCACAGTAACATAGCAACAACAGCAGAAATTACTGCAAGACTAAACTCCACCCACACCAGCTAGGGGTATCTTATTCAGGTATTAGGAAGAAAAGGAGGTCCTTGTAATGAAGGCAATAGGTTCTTCTCTAAATAAAATGTGCCATGAAAAATGAGTACCAGGATTAGTACTAGAAATTAGTTTGGCATTCTTAACTAAAACACAATGCTGTAAATGGTTCACAGAAATCATCAAAATGCAATGGGCTCTACCTTAAAATGTTATTTAATAAGTATAGATTTTAATTCAGAATTATCTTTGAGTAGATGTAATCACAAAGTGCATTAACCCTTGCTGGAATACTTTGTGGCTATTCCAAAGTAAAGGGTGCCTAAATTTTCTGTTAAAACTGTCTTTCATGACTGGCATTACGTTTTCTGAAATTAAACATGGCTTATGAAATGTTTGATGTGTCCAAGATAGGTAGAGTTGTTAAGATCTTGTCTATCAGTGCTTGAGAAGTTACCAAGTTCAGAATGTTCTGTTGTTCTGTTCACTGTATATGCAAGAACAACTCAGGCAACCAAGAAGAAAGGAAGCTCAAATAAACCTTGAAAATGCACCTTTAAATAATATATATATACTTTTAAAATGTGATTCTGGTTGATTTTGATGGACTGGCCATTAAATACAAGTTTTGAAATAATACATAGTTCGGGGTTTCTTTATTACTCACTTAGGTCAAGTTACTAAAAGTCGATTGACAAAGAATCGTGATGCTTTATACTCCATGCTGCAAGATGACAGCAATGAATGCATCTCATAAGTGCGTCTCTGTTTATACAACTAATAATAAAAAGTTGTCTTGCCCAAAGCATTATTTGCATCCAAACTTGCTGACAAACTAGAACATGAAGATGGAAACTTGTAAAAGGAGTTCTTTTACAGTTTTATATATTGTGTTGGCCTCAACATTTGGGCCACTTAAGTATAGCAATAATATCCCTGATTGAAGTTAACATGAGGAAAGCAAACCAGGAAAAATAAAACCGGTGGATGGATCTGTGTTCCCTAAGAAGCAAAAATGGAGCCTCATTAGGTATGAAAAGGATTGATGTCCGATCTGATTGTGTTTTCTCCTCCGCATTTTGTATCCTGATAGAGAAAAAAAAAACTTCACATGGTTATCTAGTGTCCTGTTTAAACTTGGAAACTACTAATATCTGTCTAATGTATTAATCATCAACTGCATGGTCAGGCATTAGAATACATGCTTTACAAAGAAGCCAGTCTGGTAGTCTAGAAGGCAGGACCTGGCACACACTGCCTGAGTCTGTGTCCTGACTTACTAATCCTCACTTACTAGGCTCACTGGACCTTTGCCAAGTTTTCTAATCAGTTGGAAAGTGGGATGGCCATTGAGTGCTATGATGAGAAAAAGCAAAGCTGAGCCCTTAGTACATACCTGGTTCCTAGAAGCACTGCATAAATATTAGCAATAAACTTCTTGTCCCATTTCTACATTTGGCCTGATACTAGGCATAGGCAGGTGAATCATGTCTTCAATAATGACCAAAAATAAATATTTCTAAGAGTGATTTAGCGCTGAACTGTTGGCCCGAATCAAGTAGCCAAGGATGTGGCTGGTAACGATGTGGAAGAACTGGAGCCTGTACCACAGCTGAAGGCCCTGACTGAGCTGTAACCAGGGTTATAACCAGCCAGTGTGCTGGGGATATGCCAGGCATAAAGGCTTACCTGTTTGGAATTGCAGGTTGCTACTTTATTACCCAGCATGCTCAGCTTCCTCCCACTTCCTCCCATCCTCATCAAAACCTCCTCCCACCAGATGAGAACTTTGAAAGCAGAGACCAGATCAGGGATCTCTGGTCTTACGTTGGAAGACAGTCGCTTTGCCTTTCCTTACACATTGAATTTCAGACCACATAGGCAACTGGAATTTTTTAGACCCAGTTTCTCCCACAACTTTATATTTTATATTTGTCTATTAAAGTCAGGGCCCTCCCTGGTGGCACAACACGTTAAAGCACAGCACTTTGAGGCTGTCGCGGCCACTGCAGCATGAGTTCAGTCTCCAGCCAGGGAGGTGACCCACATGGTGTGGCAGATCTCTGCTGACCCACATGCTGCTCCCTTAAGCAATGCATTTCAGTACATTTGCCTATTCTGCTCCCCACTGTGAATCCTCTCACCTCCCCCCACCCCACACACACACCTCTGGCTTGTACCCCAGTTCTGAATGCATACATAAATAAATCTCTAAAAATAAAGTCAACAAAATACTTTTTAGAACAGCAAATTTTTAGCTTGGTTTTATGTCAGCTTGGTGCAAATGTTAAATTTTTGACAGGTTGACTTCGATCTTCAGATTCTCTAAGTAGTTGAAAAAAATTCTCTGCAGTGCACCAAAATAAATTAAAAGAGTAGAGAGTTATACATATGTGTGTGTGTGTAAAGGAATTTAATCTTTACCTTCTAAGCATTTCCAGTCACTTTTTTTTTTGCTGTTTGATTTTTTTTATAATAGTTTATTTTTACACATTTTTGTGCATTTTTCCATCCCAGTTGCAATCCCCTAGGGTTTCCTATCACCAAATCACCCATGTGCCATCACCATAGTATTTCCAGTCACTTTTAGCAAACAAAACTGCTTTGGTCTTGACTCCCTAAGAGTTTGCTGTCAAGTCATGCTGTGCTGGACAAAGTTATGGCAGAGCAAAAAAATCCTCTGGCCCTCACTGACAATCAGATTTTTAGATAAGGTGGCTGCCTCGATATTGGAGTCTTCCCTACCCACCTGCTGGGGGAAGTCATCAAGAAAAGGGGTCTGCCAAGTGACCCACAAACTGGACCTGAGCAACTTGAGGCCCCACCCCCTCTCAGAACATGAATACCACTTGCTTTCCCGACCCCAGAAGGGACACAGCTTGTGGTGTTGAGACCATCTGGACGGTACACTGAACCCATTAAGACCACTATAAAAGTTTAAGATTTGGTAAGCAGGTGCAAAAAACCATACGGTTAAGACCTGTGACTGCCCAAGATATACCTCATAGGTAAGTTCCTATGCTTGTTAAAATTGCCACCCACCAAGTCTGGAAGGAAGGACCTACCTCTTTGGGTTCCCCTTGCTTCTTCCTCCACCCCCATCCTGTTTGGGGAGGGGTCAGTGTCTGAGTAACACTGGGAAACAACCTAATTTGCAGCCCAACTCAGCAGCATCATTACCCCCATTTCACAGATGGGAGTAAGTGGCCAGCCCCGTCACCCAGCGAGTTTATAGGCAGGTGAACCTTCAATAAACCACAGTAGGAATCCTTCAATTTAGCAAATTATTGTATAGCACTCACACATGATTTCTAAATTAGCCCCCAATTTTTTAAGTTGATGTCAGCTTCACAGGCACTTACAAAATAAAAAGTTGAAGTCTAGGGAACAAAAATAGACATCTTTTGGATGGCAGCCAAGGAGACCCAAACTATTGGGTGTTCATGCAGTTGTATGTTCTAGAAAGAACTCTCAAGACAGCCCTCCCTGGACATCTGGTGGTCTCAGCATTCTTCTCAAGGTGGCCAAGTTGCTGATAGATGTGTCACTAGCTGCTGCTTGATTGGGCTCACGCCCAGCTTTCCTCTCCTGGGCGAGCAGAAGAAATGGTGTGGAGTAAAGGATATCTATCAGTCAGTCACTCATTTCCCCTCAACTCAGAGTCCTGTTTGCTTTTTCCAGGAACTTTAGAATAGCTGAAAACAGGCTCCAGTACCCCCCATACCCTAAAGAATAGAATTCACCAATTTTAAAAGGTTAGGAGCAAAAAAAAAATTTCCTGACACAGTATCAGTCATGATTCTCCAGAGATACTGAACCAGTAGGATAATATGCCTGTGAAGAGATTCATTATAAGGAATTGGCTCATGCAGTGAGGAAGGCTAGCAACTCCAAAATCTGAAATGGTGGCTAGCAGGTTCACAACCTAAATGCTGCAGGAAAAGTCCACGGAATCTATACTGGAGAAGCGCCACTTGCTGGGGGAAGCTTGTCTTTGCTCTATTCAGTCCTTCGGCATATTGGATGAGGCTGACCCATGTTATAGAGGGACATCTTACTCCAAGTCGACTAATCTAGATTTTAAGTCTCATCCAAAACAACTCCAAGCTGACACAACGTTAACCATCACAGATATGATGGAAATTGGGACCAAAACTTCTGTTGGGCTGGCCTCAAGGAATAGACAGGGGAAGCAGGTGACTTCTCCACCCTGGTTAGCAACCCTCTCGATGCCTCCTACACCCTCTGGTGTCCACAGCTGTAGTACAGCCTCCTTCGTGGCTACCACTTCCCAGGACCCCCAGAGAACATAGGTTGAGAGCTTTGCTCGGCCACCCCACCCAGGGACTTCTAGTTATTTGTATAGCTAATTAGATGGCTTCTGGAGGCATTCCGGGTAAAGTGCAAACTCGGCGTGTTGTGAGAGGCACTTTGTGATTTAGGTTCCACCTACCTCTCCAACAGTCTTTTGAACACGAGCACTAGCGTCACCAAATTCTTCCTGGAAAAGTCTAGTTGTCTCCACCCTAAACTTTTGCACGCTCTTCATTTGCATCAAGAACAATGCTGGTCAGGGCATAACTACAAACCGACTTCAGCAGCATGACCCAGGAGAAATGCAGATGTCTGCTTAGTCCCGACTGATTCAGAATTTTGGGGTTGGGGTGGAGGGGCTGAAGCGGGGGCAGGGGTGAGTGGTAGGTGTAGGTTGGGGGGGGGCACTGGTGGCAGAAGTCTGTTTTAACAGAGTTTCCAGTGAATTCCAATACACACAAGTTAGAAACCGGTGAGGCTAGAGCACCTTCCTCCCTTTTCCTTCCGGTCTGTGCATTTATTATGTCAAGTTCCTTTTGGTAAATGCCAGTGGCCTCTGATAGAGGCACATAGAACACAGGCACCCTCCCTCATTGCCTTGCTGCCTGAGGTATGTTACACGGAGACACAGACTGAGTTGGCCGCCTGTATAAACATGTGTTAGCAGGCAGACACATCACATAGCCCCCACCTGTCCAGAAAGCTCAATGAGCTGCCCACTCTGTCTTTTTAGGCCAGAGGTTCTTAAACTTGACTGTATATTAAATCACCGTGGAGATATTTTAATGACCAATGTTCAGGCTACACCTCAGGTTAATTACCAATAAATGGCAACTAGGAGGAGGAAAGATGAGATCCAAGATTTTTTTTTTAAGCACCCCAGGAAGATTCTGGAGGGTAGCCAGAGTTAAGAACAACTGTTAGGTCCTCCCACAAGCATATGGCTGAACATTGTTCCACTCCGGGGCAATGGTTGTAAATGGAGACTTCCTGTCCCAACAAGCAGGTAACAGTCCCTTCCTGAAGAGGATGGGGGAACGGAGGGTGGATGGGGGAGGGGAGGGAGGGAGAGTCAACAGTGAGAGCTCCAGGCTTGGGAAGGTGCTGGTCTTCAGATGGTTAGACCCTGTTTAAGCCAGAGGGAACAGAGCACCTCTCCATCTTTCTGCCAACAACAAATCGTGAACACATTTGCTTCACAAATTTTAAAAGTTAAATTTAAAAATATCCTTACTGTAATTAATGTCCTCTCTAGTGTGACTATAGATGGTGGTTAAAGCCATTCTGGGAGTGTATGGTCTTTCCATTGTTAATCTAATTATCCATTTTGAACACCAGTTCCTGACTAGGC